CTGTGAGGAGAATTTGGAGGTTCTTGTGCACAAAATTTGGATGTGATCCCGTGGAGGAGTCACTCCCGCTTGCCTCTGCATCGAGGATTGGCACCCATCTTGGATTAATTGCCACAGGTGATACCGAATGATACCAAATGATACCGAATCGGCCAATGGATGAGAATTCTAGGCCCTACAAACGAGCGCATGGAAAATCCTGCACCCCCGACTACAGCTTCCGGCATAGGTATTGTAGGAACGTGCCCGCTGCGGACTGTATATGTATTGCCACACACTAATGCATTCCGTGTTCGTGCGCAGATCCATATTCATAGCTTCCCCACTCAAATATGGTGAGGCCATTTCTGCCTTCTGGGCCATTACTTCATACCTTCTGCACTCCAAAACACTTTATAAATCTTCTTAGCCTGAGGTGTTATCGCGGCTCGAGCCATAACGACTTCACTTCGTTCAATCGAGCATAGTTTTGTGATTTGTACCTGATCGTCTCTCGGTCTGCGCACCGGAAGTTTCTTGTTTTCACCGGTATCAATATTTCGTATTCTGGTGTTCCTAACAATGGCTGTCTTGTCCGTTTTTCTTCTCCGGTCACCATATGCTCTTATATACACTGATAACAATGAAGAATTCCTTCCAGTCTCTTAGCATAATCCAGGTGACCCCGCTTTTACCCCTCTTCTTAACATTTCCTTGGACTTCTCCGAACTTCTTTTTACCCCGCTCCTATCAACCAATCCTATGCCCTCCTATCCCCACATGCTATAAGTTTCCTTGCCTTCCAACCGTGCTCCCTAGTACGTGAGTCTTTTTGTAGAAGCTCCAGAACCTTCTTCATCACTGACAAATAAAAAACTCATAAGCATTACAAAGAAAAACAATTCTAGCTCCGGAGATATCTCCAATACCCCTCAATCGTGGGGGTGATAATGATAGGACATTACTCTGGGTACCGGTGATTTACAATACATAGCACGCAGGCGCTCTTCCGGTACAGGATGGCCTGATATGATGAAACGCCATCTGAGAAGCCTCTAAATTAGCCTGAAAGCGGACGGCGCAAATCTCACTGCATTGCACAGCTCCACAGGACTCAATTTCACTTACGAAGCCTGGGAAAGGGACTCCGCTGTTGCTAGTCGCTGTGCGTTGCTGAGGCCTCTCATGCCCCCCAAACATCCATACCCTGCAATGGGATGCTAGGCCCGGTTGGGGAAAGAGGTCTTTCTGAACAAGCAGTGTTTCTCTGTATAATCTTCCCATCCGGGAGGGTACGGAAAAATACCATCACGCAAACTTGGTGACGCAATCCAATCAAACCGACCCGCCAGAAAACACCGCTCAAAATGCCTACCATCCAGGCCTCCCCGCTTCGCCTGCGCAGGGAAAACTGGGGGTTGTAGGTTATCGCGGGGATGCATCGAGGTTGCACACCATTACTGGAAAGTTGTTCCACATCCATCCCACAAGGGGGTAACTAAATTTACGCTCCCTCTTCCCCCCGCCCTTGCTCACCATACCTTCAGCACCAGTTTTTTACCAGTACGGCGACGCCTACTTTAAGTAGAAGAAACAAGGTCCTTCTCCTTCCCGCAGTTACGGCAGAAAGCCCATCGCACGGTGCCTCTGCAAAAGAAAGCGCTAAGGTATCCACAACCTCCTAGTACGGTATATTGGCATTCGATGTGCAATCGCAAACCACGGCTCCGGCTCTCCATAACCCGGACGCCTCGCTGTCAAACAGAAATCTCCCTGAATTTAGAGTTTTGCTACAGGTGTTGAAGGTTCTAGATGGATGTGGGTGGATTGGGATTGATTGTGGAAGGTTCGGGAGTGCGGCAGCAAGTTTATATATTTCACGGATTAGTGTGGAGGTTCAGGGATTGATGAGGGAGTTTCGTTAGACATGTCTTTCCTTTGTTATCATAGAAGCAACCATAGCCGAACACCCCTTATCATTTGCTGCCGAGCGTGGATACGGAGATGTAGTGAGGCTACTTTTGGGCCGCTGGGAGGTCAATCCCACTTCGTGGGATGATAAGGGCCTAACACCCTTATCATATGCCAATTCTGAATACGGGGGAGAGGGTGTGAGGGAACTACTTTTTGAACGTGGGAGTGCCAATCCCAATTCAGTGGATAGTGAGGGCCGAACACTCTTGTCATTTGCTGCCGAGTGGGGTCATGCAGATGTAGCCTGGCGGCTGCTGGAACCGGAGCGTATCAAGATCAGTCGGATAATAATGGCCCAACACCACTGTCATATGCTGCCGAGCAAATGGGAAGAAATTGTAGTGGAGGGACTTCTGGGTCGCCGGGAAGTCAACCCCGATTCACCGGATAGCAATGGACGAACACCCCTATCATATGCTGCCGAGTTGGGGCATGCAGATGTAGTCCAGCGGCTTCTGGGATGCAAGGGTATTGATCCCGATTCATCGGATAACAATAGCCGAACGCTAATATCATATGCCTCTTCTAGATGGTGGCAGGAAGACAATATTCTGAGACTGTTTTTGGACCGCGGGGGTGACAATCCAGATTCACCGGATAACAATGACCGAACACCCCTATCATATGCTGCCGAGAAAGGGGTACGAGATTTTGTGGAACTGCTACTAGGCCACGCAGATGTCAACCCCGATTCACCGGATCGCAATAGGAGAACACCCATATCGTTTGCTTCCTGGGAAGGACGGGGGGGTGTAGTGGAGCTACTTCTGGACCGCGGGGATGTCAGCCCTGGCTCATTGGACAGCAATGGCCGAACACCCCTATTATACGCTGCTGCCACGTTGGGGGGAAGATATTGTAGGGCTGTTCCTTAACTGTGAGGGTGTCGATCCCAATTTTCCAGATAGAAATGGCCGAACACCCCTATCATATGCTGCGGAGTGGGGACGTGCAGATGTAGTCCAGCGGCTTCTAGAATACGGGGGAGTTGATTCAGATTCAATGGATAGTCATGACCGAACACCCTTATCGTTTGCTGCCTCGAAAGGGCATGAAGTTATAGTCAAGCTACTTCTGGAATGCGGGAATGTCAACCCGGATTCTCCGGATGGCAATAGCAGATCACCCCTATCACATGCTGCCGGGGGGGGCGCTACAAGAATTTGTAGAGCTGCGTCTCGACCACGAGGATGCCAACCAGGACGCACTAGATAGCAACGGATATCTACGGTATCCTACCGGGGTAGCAACAATGAGATACTTTGTCCAGCAGTAATCAACCGAGTCACCAAAAAAATGCTTTACAATGCCTTTATGTGTGGTGACGACTACCCTACGTAATGATAATTCTGGAAATATTTGAATGTTTACCCGAGAGTTTCTCCTTGCCAAAGGTCCTCCTAGATTTGTTGAGCTTTGAGGATACCCCAGTCTGGAAGCGGTAGCGGCACAGCATGATCCGGCTGTCCAGGGTTGAGCAGAACCTGATATCTCTCAAACTGTACCCTCAGGTTTCTTTTACCATATATTCCCCCAATCCATGTTCTGGAGTACTTTCCTAGAGGATATAGAAGTCTACCTGGCACCCAGGACTCTTGGGAACGCTTAACCGTGCTTGTGGTATGCAGGCTTTTTGATCCCGTATCCGCACAGTCCTACACCATCACCGAGCGGAGACATAAGGACAGGCTTTGGCCCCCGATACGAGGGGGCTAGCGGGGCCGCTTACTTGTTTTCCCATTGCAGTTGGCCAATTGTGGATCGCCACTGCTGTGCCCAAATTGTACAACCGTTGTTAGAGAGGGGCCCCCTCTATGTCGTCGGGGTTAGGCTTTTTTTCTTGGATCTCAGTCATCTCCAGGTTCCTTTTATGAGCTCTCCGACACTAGGCGTGCTTGCTCGGGTAGAGTATGTATGACCTAAATTTTAATAAATATCGCTCATGATAACTGGTTCGACGCTTCCCCGATTCCCGGAGCGGCGGCGCTATTTAGGCGGTCTGGCTGTCTCCAGCCCGTTCCCGGCCCTTGGATTACCGTAGGCGCCCAAATAACTAGACCCTTCCCCCGAGCGCTGTAGTTGTCACCCCCCCGGTTGGGCTCGGACCGCTTTGCTTTTTTCTTCTCTCTTTGTCTGAGAATGGGGGTGCGGCGGTGCGCTTGCTTGTCCCCCAGCCCAGAGTGGGGGGTTTTGGACTACCTTGCTTATGGTCTGTCCACTCGGGCTCTTGAGGACATTTATATTTCTCCCCATAAGATAGGTCAATATGATAACATCTTGGGTTATCGGCTCGAGAGTAATCCCGTCAACTGGGGTTTTTAACCCAGTTAAAATTCTAGTCTATGACCCCTGAAAAAAGGTAAAGCGTATGGTGCGAAGCATCTAGAGGGGGGTCCAGCAGTGTTGCAAAATGTAATGCCTTATGTAGGCTGGGTTAGGGTTATCGTCACATCTTATCTACTTTTCTGGGCCAGAACCAGCTACCTGATATAGGAAGAAGACAAAAGACCGCAGGAGATAGAAAGAATGCAAAAGGAAAGCTGGATAAGAGATCGTATTCTGAAGTTAGAAGTGCAGTATTGGCGGTGCATAAGAAAGATATTCGGAGTTCTGATAGAACATATGACATCACTATTGTTTAGCCCTAACCTAACTTACATAAGGCATGAAATTTTGCAGCCGTTGGACCCCCCCTTTAGATTCTTCGCGCCATACAAGTAATTCTCCCCATCGACTCGGTTGAATAGTGCTATGAACTACACCGGCGCTATTTTAACCAATTGGGACTAGCTCAATGCTTTGCTGAGCGTTTATCAGTATATAATCAGATCCATAATCCATTGATAATTGCCTAAGGCACAATAAACCCGAATGAGAGATCATGACTACAGCTAACTGAGAATACCATATATGACTCAAGAAACTCGAGGTCAGCATGAACCAATCCCTAAGAACAGTGGACACCATCGAGTGAAAGTCTAGGAAAAGAAGCACCAAATCCTCCCCCCTCCTACCAAGCAAGAAAAAACAAAAACAAAAGCCACACCCTAACAGCCAGGACCGTTGTCATTCTTGCAGCTAGTTCTAACCCCATAATTGCAGCATTTTCCTCCGCGGCCGCACTGGTAGACGTTGTCCAGGCAGGCGCCTGATTGGCATGATTTCACGGCCAGGCAGTGCCCGCAGTAGAGCCCGGCACTGTACGAGGGGTCACACTTGCAGCCATCGTTATCACAAGCACGCTTTTCGAGATCGTTGGTGTCTGGTTCGGTGAATGGATTCGCGAGTGCCACGGCGTGAGTGAGGGTCAGGAACAGGGCGATAATGGGGAGAGTCTTGAGAAGCACTGCGGGGTAACAGTCAGTGCAGGTTTTAGGGGATAGAGGGGCAGTGCGAGAGGAGAGGATTACTAGTGATCTGATGCGAGAGTTTGAGCTAGTAGTGGTTGTGTTAGTTTCTGTTTTCCAAGTGATAGTGGGCAGGGAGAATACCTTCTATGAGAATCGGCTTAGAGGGAGGTTCTTGATCAGATCGAGGCAATGAGGAACCGATGGCGAAAGGATGTTGTGGGAGGATATGGCTAGTATTTATGCTTTTTTCCTCACACTGAATGAACAGAACTATGTCCTTGGATTCCGTCCGAGCAGGCTTGGAATTAGTAGCAGCCGCCACCCCAGGACCCAAATTGCTCCTGAGGACCACATTCGTTACCGCACATGGCCCGACAGGCCCTGGTGCTGCAATTGGAGGCATTCCGAGAATCTTCCGATAATCACGATCTCGCCTGGAACCCCCAGTGTATGGGGGGTGCAGGGGTATATCTCGTATTCATTAATTCGAGGTGAATACCCATATTCACTACGACAAATCAATTGATCTAGCTTCCTCACAGCCCACATTATCAGGATGACAGTAGACAAAAAGAAAGGGGTTTCACTGTTGGTAAGTAGATTTTTTCTCCTATTTTTCGAAGTTTTTATCATATCATCTAGGTCATGCCTCTCCCCGAGTATATCACGGCTGTCCTTCTCACCGCCTTGCCCAGTACCTCCTATACATTGGTTTACTAATTCATTTGCAAGGGGTCCGGCCAGTAGGTGTGCAAGTAGTGGGCCCAAAAAAAGGGTTGGCCACATGCTTATAAACGGATAGTCTATGATCCGTTCAGCGTGTGCCCGGTTATTCCAATGAATATGAATACGTACCAAGTAATCCTTGTTCTACCTACCTACCGCCCCTACCTCTGCTGCGGTCAATTCATATTTCTAAAATCATGAAGTGGGCCTCTGCCCAGAGAAAGACAGCCCGCCAACCTAGAGACACTAAAACAGGAGAAACCCAGGTCAAGATATTCCGAGTGATCGTCCATGAACCAAGATGTTACTTGCAGTTTTCAGAAGTATCCGGATATCAGGAGATTGGCTTGGCAGCAAAAAGAACTACACTATCCACTGTATTATGTGCCTATATTGAGCAGAGAGCGAATTAAAATTAAAAAAAAAAGCACTAAGATACCTAACAGCACTCCTCAAGCACCTGTACTGATTTTCGAATTTTTTTCTCCTTGGTATTCTTATCGGTCCTTTCTGTTGAGCGAAAGGACCGATAAATGCCAAGCTAAGCCAGACATCAGGATACTTTTGAAAACGGCAAGTAGCAAATAAAAGCCCCATATCGTGCAGCAGGAAGTTCCTGCCCTGTTCTTTTTTGAGCCGGAAGCATACGGGAGCTCTCGACTACCCCGCAGGAATACGAGGTGGGCATTCCGAGATGGGGGTTGCGCGCTTGTTGGCATGCCGGGGTGGATGCTAGCTCGAATGGTACCTAATGGTCTGTCATAACATCACACTATACCCACCAGAACACATGCTGGACTATGGATTAGGGGCTACTTTTTACAGGATAGGGTACGGTATTCTCAGGAACATGTGATACCGGAAATCCTTAGGCTAAATCTGAACGGGCAACTAAAATCCCCATCAGTGCCGGGTGGATCGGCCAAAACTGGCGTAGAATTATCGCAAAAGATTACTACGGTAACCCGTTACCACGTGTTAACTGCCCATCGAACGAAGAGGACCTCCCGTTAAAGTGCCCTGAACAGGTAAACCCTCGTAGAACTTCGGCCCTTGATCCTGTCTTGTAAATAAACTACCACAGGGTACGAGTTTATACATGGGCTAACCGAGCTCGGTGATAGAGCCATGTGTTTCTGCAGATGCTGGTTTTCTACCTCGTGATCCGTGGCAAATCATGTAGCGGAGCGAAGCCGAGAATCTATAGAGCCGAGTATTCAATGTTATCCGCTTATAACAGCGTAGGGTAGGGGTGTAATTCTTGTACGGGGTGCGGGGTAGCGGTGCCTGCAGGACCATTCTAAGTTTGAAATCCAACCGCCGTGCCGCTCCGCTCCGCCAGTTCCGCAGGTATTACCCTAATGAGGCTAAAAGCCCATACACCTGAGGATTATGCGACCGAAGGCAACCCAAACAGTGATATGAGAACAAAATTTATCCCCTCCCGAAAAACTCAAAAATTTGAGAAACAGGCTTCTACGTAAGACACCACAAGCGAACCTATAATCGTGTGATTCATATCCCTGCTATTATACTTACCTGGTGTATTATCCTGACGCAATATGGCGAGAATGGGGGGACAAGCTCAGGGGCCTTTGGGGTTCTAGTTATTTGCTCAAGAGTGATTATTCAGACCCGTAAAGTTTCTTATGTTCTTCTTTCCCCGGAAAGTTTCTAATAGCTGGATCTAGGGCCGAGAGCTCTTCAGAGGGATCAATTAGTGCTTTCCCGAAACTGTGCAGTCCACTCCGACCTCATGAACTGGTGTTCGAACATTCTGTTCAGCTGTCAAACAAAGCCCCTTGTGGATTCATGTAGTGATTTACGCTGGCAATCCGATAGTGGATTCCAACGGGTTTTATCATACGGTATGTAACTTGCTTGGTCCAGGTTAATTGGGTGCGGCAGTGAACAGGTGCCAGGAGAAAGGCTTCCGGGCAAGATAAGGGTTGCGTCGCTGATTAAACTAAAATAACGGTTCAAGAATCCCATCGGGGTGCCTGTGTATATGATGCCCGCAGTTATGATACAAATATTGAAGTTAGTAGAACCCAAAACCTCAACCAACTCCATGTAGTAGTAGGAATTAATAAATCGTGAACTTCCCAACAAACAGGGAGCTAGCAACAGAACTGCTGGTTTAACTTTTTTATATTACCTGACACTCTGGGGGCAGAGCAGCGAGAAGAGGATCTGTGGGTGGAGGAAGTTGACCGCTTTTAGCTCCTTCGACCAAGGATGGCTAGTAGCCAGATATGATGAGAGACTGATGAGAGCACATAGTGGCCCATTGTCTGCAGATCAATTCTGACTGCTTCTCTCTATATCTAGTGGATATGCCAATACGGTGTTCAGTGATATCTGGTTGCCATGCAAGGTTAGAAGAATAAACTGTGGTCTAATCAGAGACAGTGAGATGCACAAAAAAATCAATATTCTAGAATATTATGGTAGGAAATAGGATTTAGAGGTGCAAGGCAGAAATCTGGACAAAACTCTAGAAAACCCTGATTTAAGGCATGTGCCATTGGAATGGCTTGGCATGTAAACTGTGGCTGACTAATATTGTTTTCCCTTTTACACTGAAAATACAAGTTTTCTAGAGCTAAAGAATCTTTATCCAGAATTCTAAACAACAAAAAGAAACCTGCTTCTCCTTATTTTTTTTTTAATTTTTTTTTTTTGAGAAAGATGATCTGGGGCTGGCGCCTTTGGCGTTTGAAAATAATGGATCTTGTGGTGCACATTTTGGGTGTTACGAACCATAGGAAAGGAGGTAAAAATGCATGAGCAGGCAGGAACTAAATATGCAGGGTGTTGAGCCATCTCTAATAGGCAGACTAGGGTTCATATGATATGGTACATATGGGTCTATAAATATAGGGCCGAGATATATTAGCCATATTGTGAAAGTTGTCCAGACTGTACAATTAGTCATCCTATTTGGAATGAAAATATGGGCTAGAATTACCTGTTATGGTGATAGTCTGTATTTTTTTTTGTAAAGGATAAAGTTTAGGAAAGGTGGCTACGATAGGTTCCCCATTTGAAGGTTCATCGGAGATGCAACCGTAATAAATTTGTAGCTCAGTAGATCGAATGTGTGATGATGTAGAGATATGTTGAGAGGTGGAGCTATGAACCAAAGTCTTGTTACTGCGGTTAGTTAGCAGCATGAAAATAGTGGGTGAGAAGACGGGGGTGAGGCGGACATACTCCACTCACTTGAACAGTGGCCCCGCACGCCACTGGGGTTATTTGCCAAAACTAGCCAGGAAATCTATAGGTTGGACAAGTGTAGGAGGTAGTTCGACTGCTGCCTCGAGGAGGATTATTAGTTTATGAAAGTAGGTGGTATGTCATTCCTCAAGGTAATATTAGGTATAAAGGGAACATACTCGCACAGGGGGACGGGCTTCGGAAGACCCTCGCGCCCGCGCTGTCTAGGGCCTGGTGAGGGCTAACCATTTTCCACCCGGCTCCCCCGTTGCGCTTCTGCGTTCCTCCGAACGACTTTTTCCTCCTCTCAGACTTCAAAATATCTATCCCGGTATTGGCTACCATCCCCACCAATGTGAGAATGTTTTACCTAATTATGCTTGCTCCTCCTCCCCGAGGGACAGCGAGTCCGGATCCCGGGGGGAGACTTGCACCACTCTAAATAGATTCAGCATCTATCAACCTCACTGTACACCTCTCTCTCAGACCCTCGTACCCTACGTCATACTAAATACTGGCTTGAGGATACAAGCCAATGGACTATCCAAGATTCACTACCGCAATATCCGCCATCCAAGCGCGGCATTCATCTCACCCACGATAAAAAAATGGTCTCCCACCCGCTCGGTTGCTAGAATTTGCTGCTAGCCGAGTAGCCATCCCTATGGCAAAGCAGGCCACAAAATAGCTAGAACCCCCCGTTGGCCTGCTCTCGTATTCCCCGTTACTCCCGGTGCTGGGCCGTGATGCATATTTCAGTGGTAGTTAGCTCCTGTGTATTCACTAATCCCATGCGTATGATACTTTTCTTTCTCCCACCATTCCCCATAGCTTGAGAACTATTCATATTTTGTATGCCTGGTGTGATGGTAGAACCATTCATTCATAGTGATACCAATCGCATCTCTAGCAACAAGATTAATAAACCCTCCCATAACTACCTATCGGACTCACCCTATCCATCAATGATTCCACCCATGAATATATCTACCTTTGCTGAACTATCTTTTGTACTTACGTTGCCTGTGGGGCTAATAGCCACAATCATCCCTCACAATCTACAGTACCCACTAACTTTAGTATGCAGGTAACATGACTAAGGGCACACTCGTCCTCTCCTCGCTCCCTTGCGCTTCTCTGTACATTTCACTCCTCATGGGCGCACTACTATTATATGTCCGTGTCTGGCTTTGTTTTGTTGGCACCGCTTTCGGCGAAGGCTGCTCTTGTGGATAATCACCTTGCTAAGAGTGGGGAATCGAGGCCTGTTGTGTGAGGGGTTGTAATACGCGGGTTTAAGGACGGCGGGTTCCTGAATTGGTTAGGATGAATTGGAGGTATCTCTGATGCAATACCCATGCTCTTATAATCCCTTGTCGACATCCCACCTACCCCCTGCCGTATCATCTGTTCTTTCCTGAGCATTTCCTCGTCGCGCCCCGCCGGAGCGCTCAAAAA